ACACTTCTGTCACTTAAAGAGTATAACCTGGCACACTGACAAGCCTAACGTCACAGCCACATTAAAAGCTTTAATTTGGTCTAAAAGTAGTTTTTTTAAGAAGGAATTTTCTTAAGAAGGAACAACTAAAATATGCTGCATTTATTTTTTTCCTTTCTTATAATAAGCTAGTCAAGGTGTTTAATTGCCCTTTCTGCTAGCTACTGAAAGCATTTTTGTAGGCTTTTGTCTGGCTTTTCCTGCTTATACTCATAGTAGATTTGGAAGATTATTCTTCTGGCGTCCTAGTTACCAAATTATGCAAGGTATCTTGATGACTAATACAGTATCAGCACTTTATTGCTGGAGCAGGAGGGAATGCTGGATTAATGGGGTAGTGATCATCTCCAAAACAGTTTTTTCAGTTTACTGTACTAGGAGAGGAATGGGGAAGGAGCAGGGGGAGAAGCAGCTACCTTCCATTTAGCTTGGGTTTTTATTTTCCTAATTTATGACCACACCTGTATAAGACTCCCTTTCTAAACCTGCAGTAGAAACTTACCTGAGATTGAGGACACATCCTCAAAGATTTTTCAGATTTTAAATAGATTTTTATTGTCAGTGAAAGCTGAGTTAGCTACCAGATATTTTGAAATGAGCTATTTTAGGCAAACTTTTAGGCATGGCCTAAAGGGAAGGCACAGAGAGGATGGATCCAGACTCCTTCTCAGAGACAAATGGCACAAGCTGAAACACTGGTAATTCCAGTTAGCACCTGTAATTCCTTATTTCTAAGAAATGAAGCAAGAACAAAAGGAAAATGATGCTGAAATATGTATTCATGTATGAAAACTGCAATATTTTTCTAAAAATTTAATTTAAAAATTGAAAATTAAAAGGAGGTATATGCTGAGATGTGAAAACTCCTACTGGTGATTACATCCCCCACTCTACAAACATTTGGGCTTTATGGATACTTGTGTCCATCATCACATAAAAACATATCATCCTGGATAGAACATCAATGGAGCCATACATCGAAAAAACCCTATTCTTAAAATTTCTCCACCCTCTGCTCCAAAAACATATACAAAATAACTGGCTTTAGTGTCAATCCCATTACTAGCTTTGAATTATTTGCTACATTTAGTGTCAGAAATTAATCAAAGTCACCAGTTTATTGATTTAATTTTAATTGTGACCTTTCTGTTGATCATTCAATCATTAATAATTAAAATGTAAAATGAATTACTGAAATTAATTATCGTAATTATCTGTTTAGATACACAGTTCCTTTGCATTTAAACTTAACAAAAATCCACAGAAGTTGCAGGGCTGCCCTCCAAAGGGACCTCAGTTGGGCACAGAAATGGGCTGACAGGGACATCAAGAGGTTCAACAAAGATTATGTCCTGCTTCTGGGATGGAATAACCTAATGCACCAGTACAGGCTGTGGGACAAGAGGCTAGAAAACAGTCTTCCAGAAAAGGACCTGAGGGTCCCAGTGGACTACAGGTTCAAGATGTGTCAGCAGGGCACTCCTGTGGCAAAGGCCGACCCCGTACCAGGCTGTATTAGCAAGAGGGTAGCCAGCAGGTCAAGAGAGTGACTTTTTTCCTCTTAGCACTTAATAAAATTGCATCTGAAGTCCTGTGTTCAGTTTTGGTCTCCCCAGTACAAAGCCCTGACATAGAGGAGTCAGATCAGTGGACTGCCAGCATGGTCAGGGGTTGGGACACACGTCATACAAGGGGAGGCCAAAGGAACACAGGCATCTCATCGTCTACAGCTACCTAAGAGGAGAGAGAGAAGACTTCTCAGAGTTACACAGAGGAATGCTGAGAAGTAAAAGGCATAAATTGCAAAAAGAGTCCTTTTTTGTTTTGGTTGAGTTTTTTTGGTTTTTGTTTGGAGGTTTTGGTTTTCCTATTATGAGCCTGTGCAAACACTGGAACAGGCTGCCCAGGGCAGCTCTGGAATCTCCATCCATGGAGATACTAAAAACTAGGCTGGAGAAGGTCTGAGCAACTGACCTATGTGGACTGGCTTTGAGTACGTGATTGCTCTAAATGACCTGTGAAAGTCCCTTCCAACCTACATGATTCTCTTATTCTGTAAAAAAGTTTTTTATTCTTTCATACTGTGACACAAAAACATGAACTTTCAGGGTTCAGATGATTTCCAGTATGAAAACTGTGAAACAGGTTTTATCCAAACTAAACTCACTGAAAAACTTTTGGTAACTATTACTGTCAAACTTAATTTTAACTGCATATTCATCTTTTCTAAATGGGATACTGAACAAAGAATGAAAAAATCTCTAAGAAAATCTGTTGAGGAAAAAAGTCCATTCTTAATAAGTAAATTGTTACACAGCTTTTTTTTTCCATCCCCCAAATTTTTCACATGGATTGGAAGAAAAGATTCACCATTATAAAATGGTATTCTTATATGCCATTAAAGACATGACAAAACATAAAATTAGAAAAATTTTCACAAAACATACTAAATAGCAATTCTTTCAAGATTTCCACACCAGAAAGCTTTGGATAAATATTTGATACAAACCTAATTGGTTTGATGTTTGTCCTTTCCTCTTTAATAACATGGCCTGAAGGCACACAAAAAATGAGATCATTGTGATACCTTCAGAGAAAATCAGTACTAAGATAGGAAACAACGTTCACCTGTTATTCTCAACGATTCAAACAAAAAGAAAATTAAAACCATAGAGCCCTACAGAATTTCAACTTCTTAGAACTTCTCTGGCCACTGAACTTTTGAGCCAAGTAGTGAAGATTTAGTTAGCGTAACACAAGAAGGTACATACAAATAAACAATCTGTGAAATGGGAAAGAGACTACAGTGCAAAGGACTTCCTGCAGACTGGCAGCCACACACACACACACACACACGCACTGGCATCCTTCAGATTCTGCTGCCTAGGCTTTGCAGTCTTACTAACTTGCTGTATTATCTCTCATCGCTATTGCCCTTAGCTGCCGTCTCAGTTCCTTTGTTTCTGTGAGCTTTTACAGCAGCGTCTACAAATTTGTCTAGAATCGTGACTTCAGAAGCAGCTTGACAGGCATTCAAAGAACTAGAATTTATTTCACCATCATTTTGCTGCCAAGGAACATGCTGCAAAGAATGCAGCAACATTGCACATGTATGTTACATGTGGCTTAGTTTGAAACACTGAGTCCTCTATGAATGGCACCCTCTATACTAAAACATATCAATCCCATTATCATACCACTACCAGAGAGATACCTGTGTAATTAAACGTACAATTCGTTTTCTTCATTTACTAAGTCTTTTTTACAGAATCTTGATAGGACTTTTTGAAGAACTCATCTGGATGCAAAAGACTCTTGGGAAATAGAGATAACCTTTAAAATACTGTAGAATATAAGTTTTGTCAAAACTAATTTATAGCAATGTCCTTAAATTCCATGGGAAGGACAAAGTAACTCATTAAATCTTGATGTAGCTCTCTACTTCAGTGGATTAACCTGGCCCAAGCAAAACAGAACTTCATACTCTGTATTTAAGCTTTAGGTAAAACTCACTAGATACACAAAACACTTCTAACTTAATCTCTAATATTTCTTTTTTCCTGTGCACGTACAATTTGTGAAAATGGAAGACAGAGCCAATATTACAATGCTAAGAGTATAACAGGATGAGAGCACTGGGTAGCAGAAACTCCTATTCTGGCATCATATTCAGGCATTTAAAAAATAAGTTGGTGATGAAAAATGTATTTAAGTTTGATCGTAATATTGTTTACATAATAAATTAGCACAAGATAAATTTTTTTTCATTCTTAAGATACTTATTCAACAATTCAGTTTTCACCTCTCCACCCTCTTTTCCAAAACTCACACCAAGTCTGAAATACAAGATTATTTAACTGGAGAATTCATACTGGGTATATACAATTATATATCAGTCTTTATCCTGCAGTGATGCATATCTGCCAGAATGACTAAGCCTTTGTCTCTCGAAGTTCTGGTATCCGTGGCGGCAGGGGAGTTAAAAATCAGCACAAGAGAGAAAGGTCTGATGGTGTGCCAGTGTACAATGGAAGAGAATTCAATAACAAGCTGCAGAGACAGTGGGTTTTTATCAGACACATTCAAAAGTGGTGGTGGCTACACGTCAATGCTGGACCAGAGTGTGTTACTGCAGAGTGCGACTGAGTGTTTTCCCCACAGGCAATACACTATTATTGACTCCCCCCATTAACATGTAGGGTGGATATACATTTATTGAAGGTTCTAATGGAAGGCTGAGGGACTCCTATCCTGAGGCCAGAGCAGAAAGACAGCCTATCACTTCATGTAATGGTAGCCCATGTGTGACAGACCTGACCTACATTTCCCCCCTTTCTTTCTCACAACAGCCTGTCACTGTTTTAAGAAGCTATTTTCTGAGAGGTATAAAAAGAAATACATGCTAGAGCTGCCTAGTTAATGAGTTATATTGGAATATTATTTATAAACCTGCTTTAAAAAGACTAGTTTAGACTACAGATGAATTATGAAAGCTACTATAACATACACACAACCAAAAAGAATGTGTCTTAATGATTCTGAAGTGCTTATAAACCCATACACATTGAACACTAGGTATAAGTGGATTAATACCTGTATCTAAGATACTGCAACAAAATGTAGTTAAAGCAAGAGACTTAAAATTAAGAACGCTTAATGAAGCTGACATAATAAAGTAAAAAGGGCTACGGTCTGTAATTAGTATAAATTTCATATTCATTCAAATTACTAGGAATAACGCCACCTAATGTTTTGTTGGAAGTAATTCAATGTTTTCACTAGCTAATGTAGGTGTAGCAAAAACTATAAATAATGGATCCACATTTGAAAGTAGGACAAGAGTGAAAGAAACGTTTGGTTCAGCAATAAACAGCATTTTAAAATACCATCTAACTACCACTCCCAGACCCTGCTTATTTAAAGAGCTGCTGCCACTACAGCACTCCTTAGCAGGAACCTACCCCGCTGCTGCAGGTCATACTCTTTTTTTGTCTCTTCATTCCCTAGAATTTTCCACGCTTGATCAATTTCGATGAACCTCTGCACACGCTCCTCCACTTCTCCTGCTGGCACATCTGCCTTCTGTTTGTCTGGATGATACTGCCAATCAAAAAAAAAAAAAAAAGATTAAAAAAAAAGTTGAGGAGAGTGGGTAGAGGAGCAATCAATAATGCATTTGATATTCAGTTAAAAGAACAGAGAAAAGGAGAAGGTCTGAGCTAAGGTGCCAAAGGAAGTGAGACAATGATCGTGGGCACAAGAGAAAACTGCCAATTTAATTAGACCATTGAAATGGCAACAGAACCACCAGTGGCACAAATGTCACCATGTGCACTGACGGCATTTTCTGGATAATTTGCTGATGGAATCATTGGTCTTATGGACAATTTACCTAGAGAGAATGACTACCCTAAACAGAAATAGGTACATGCAGAGGATCACGACATGGAAACAAGAGGAGGTGCTGTAGGTCCTAGCGGCTCTTGTAATATTACACATAGCTGATTTAAACAATACCACCAATGTTTAGTTAAGGCTATTGCAGATAAATTGAATGCTGTATTACCTGTACCTAGCTTTTTAAAAGTTATTTAAATGGTAAATCAAACATACATGATCAAATGTAATTTATAATACATGTAATTCTACTTTTGAAAATATGCCTCAACATCTTTAATTTATTCCAGTTCAGTGAATCAATAGCCCTTCCAAATATTTAAAGTCATGGATCACTGGCCACAAAATTGTGTCATTTTAGTTAAGAAATGGTTATCCAAGGACATGGCTGCAAGAAATCGCACGTTAAATAGGCAATAATAATTAAAATGATAACATGTTTTCATTACCATTAGTACTACAGGTTCTAAACAGAGCATTCTGACTTCTTTTTGGTTCAAATGTCTACCGAAAAAGTACCCTAAAAGCTCCATCTTCCCGTAGCTTTAATTCATCTCCAATCATCTCTTTTTTTGATACTTTAAATTGCTCAGTGTAAGTGATGGACCAACAGGAAACAGGATTTAAAATGAGAACATTGCAATATAATCAGACCTATCAGCTGTTAACTGTGTTATAAATCAAGATATCCCTTATTCTGGAGCTTTGACTTCTGCCCTTTATAGTAACATCAGTTGGGGCACTGAAATGTACAGCAGATTTCAAGACTTAGAACACGTGTTTTACAGGTGTTTGAGCAGATTTCTGATTAACTGAATCTATTTGATTTAGTTCGTGATTAATTTTGAAAAGGAAAGAAAATACTAATATCGTGTATGCTTTATAAAATTCAAAATTTAAAAGGACCACTTCTACTGGAGTCTATTTGCTCACTGATGTACGTATATGTCATTTACACTGATGGGTACTACCTGGATGGATCCCCTGTATGACAACAAGAGAATGTACATAAGGGCAAAACATTAAGCTTTGACCTCATTTTTTTCACATGTATTTTTCCATATACAGATGAATGTGCTTGCAACCTCAAGTATGAAGTCTGTACACAAATGTGTACTTTTGTTCCACCATATGAGTAAGCACACTTGAAGTCATCTCTGCATTCAAGACTGAGGACTAGCTTGCAACTTGCTGAAAATATGACCGGAGCACAGTTAAGATCCATAACGGTTTATCTCCTAGAGTTCCCTTTGTTTACCTCCCCAACTGAAGATAACAAAATTCTAAGGCACAAACAAATCAAACTTCTTTGGCCACTGCATTTAGTCACTGCATTCTAAATAGCTAATTAGATAATCAGTAATTATACCTTTATTTGGTAGACACGAAATTCAGCGTTCTGTTGGCACGCATCATGTTGTACTGCAAAAGCTATTTAAAATTGATTTGTAAACAAATAATACATTCTGAAACGTTAGCTTTTCCAGATGTATTTCAATTTCAATAGCATTTTTAACATTGGTGGTTGATTGTTTATCACATTTGTGAAAGTTCATTTCTAAAAACAAAATAATCAATGCTTAATAAGCATACAAGGCAAAATAGTCAGATCACATTAAAGACTTCTGTGGTTTCCTTTTAGCAATGTTATCTATTTTAACAATTACGTTTGAGGTATGCATCCAGCACTTACTCCTCAAAGGAATGTTTTATCTGAAAAATGATACTTCATTATTTTAAAATATTTCAGATGCTATATTTAAAATTTGGACCCACCCCCAATATTGTAGGATTAATTATAATACCTAAGACAGTTCTACGACTGCTGTATATTTCACTCCATTTGGATGATACTGTGAGCATTCTCCTACAAGCTTATACCCAAAGGCCTATCCAAGGAATATTATATCAGATTTAGTACCACTGAAACTCAACTGGATTTGAATAGCACTGACAGAAAACTGTTGCTCATATTGTTCTGTTTTTGCACTAGCCACAAGTCACACCTCCTCAGATCAGCTTCTTAAAGATATATGAAAATGTTACTGAACAAGTGCCCAAAACAGCACCAAAAACCGGCTTCTTTCCTGCCAAAAACGTTGAGAAAGCACTCACACAAAATTGCTCGCACTTTGCCTTTGCTACACCAAAACTTTGCCTGACTGAAAAATAGTTTTGGACTATACTGGAAGTAACGAGTGAAAAACATTGTGCCAAATGTCACAGAAGTACTTTGAGAAAATAATAAACAATGCAGAAAAAGCTATTCTGTTCATTTATTTAATAATGCAGAAAATTCATTATTCTTCAGATCTATCATTTAGCTTTTAACTTCTTTCATATAGATTTGAAAATTTTTATAGTGGTAGCACATGCTATTTTTATATTTGAAAGACTACAGTTTCATGTAACTAGTAACTACATTGTAGGGGGTCTACGTATTAAAAAAACAAATCCATTTTGGTCTCCATGCTTTCTGAAACTATTTGCTCCTTCCTCTGTTGGGCTTGTTCCTCTACTACCATCGGTGACATCAGTAATCTACATCTACACTAAGAAAAATCCTCAAAACCTCTGCTCTTTTACTCTAATCCTCTTTCCTCAACAGGCCCACCTCCCAGTGACTCCATTTCACCCACGTATGTTAGGTACCTGTTCTCACTGACTCCAAAAATCCACTCTTGATTCAACTGCCCATACCCTCCTCTTCCATCTCTAAGCCAACAAACAAGGTATCCTCTCTCCAGCTGTTTTAGACCCTGTTCAGCCACCAGCCACCGAGGACACCTTGCCAAAATTTCAACCAACCTACTAATAGCTGAAGTTTAGAGAGAGTACTCTAATGTCCTCCATCAATATTTCAGACATTAATCAACCATACTTTTTTTTTTATATCCTCTCTCTCAGTCTTGGTTACCATATTCTTGCTTCTGGTTCTCCTCCCCCTTCAGCACACCCTTCAGAGGAGCTGCCTCAGTAGAGCCTGGGGTTTGGTTTTGTTCTGAGGGAGGTGAAATATGATGCACTTTTCTGATCTTTTTTCCCATTCAGCCTTATTTCTGGGTTAATCTCAGCTGCAACTGTCTACAAGCTCTGTAATGAAAATGGAAGAGTCTGTTTTCTACTCAAACTGAACTACTGTTCATCTCTCCCTCTATGCATCCAGTTACAAGCTCTTGCTCAAAACGTTAGAGCCCCCCAATGTCTCCTGCAATATCACTTCTCAAAGTCTGTGCAAATTATCTTTGTGCCATTCATACCTGCCACCTGAGCACTATTTTCAGCTGTATTACCGCACTTTGGATATATTTAAATCTTTCTGGCTGCATATGCCTAATATTCTTAAGAAGCAATATTTCATAAAAATAGCTTTTCCCTGAGAGCTCATCTTGATTTTTGAACACGGTAATAATTTTTACTAACATGTTACTAGTTAACAGGACTCTATAAAAACAATAAAGGCTATTTTCCTGAGTCTGACAGAGGAATTGGAAAAGGAAGAAGGTTAGAGATGTATGCCCAATCTAGTTTCTGTTTTTTATACCTCCACCAGAAGTAATTTGCTAACACCTTCCCATTACTAAAGACTGTCTGGAATTTATATCACTTTACAGCATATGATGCTTTATAGTTATTGTGAATGTTAAAAAATAAACTGATTGATTATGGAAATATATTAGTTCATCTGTTAACTATAAAAAAATACCTCACACATGCAATACTGCTTGCTCTCATGATGTTTATCTTAAACATCACACTGTCATAGTATTTCTTGAGGACTCTGGCTCTTGGTATAAGGGTTAATTTTAAAAATTTTATTTTAGGGGGTTTGTTTGGTTTTGCCTTTTGTTTTGTTTTTAATTAATAACAAAAATTTGAAAAATCATGAACCTTGATGTCCAAAGATCAAATGAAAAACTCACTTTAAACATTATCTATTGGAGACTTGGTGAAATTTTTAGTGCTGCAGGGAAATAGAAAAGCAGGCTAATACAAACTTGACCTTGTGCCCTTTTCAATTACAGTATCATAATTATACATTTCTAAAGCAGCTGTATTGAATTGTCTTATATTTAATATACATCAGACTGTACTTTGCAGCAATTTGGGTACAGTGGTGAACAGCATATCACCTCGTAAATATACTCTGAACACAGATACAGGTTCAGTTCTTAGTTTTATAAGTATCCAAAAACTTAGACATTTTTCATGGAACATCTTAGATAAATTAATTGTATGCCATTATGCTAATCTATTGCCTTTGATACTTACTACAGAATAAAAAGTGAGTGAGCACTTTTTCCCATCTCAGAAAAAAGGTGTTAATGTTGCATTTACCAAATAATTAAAAGTATAGACTCCAAGAATTACTTCAGTTCCATCATATTTTATTTATACAGTGATATTTTTATTTATACAGTGTGCCACACATATTGTTTTTACCCACAGGGTTTGTTTAAGATTTTGGAACGCATTACAGCACATCCAACTACTACATTTAGTTCTGCTTACTTTATACGCCATAAGTTTGGTCCCCTCTGCATTTTAAGAATGGCAAAATTAATCACTGGAATTTAAGAAAGACCATTTGGTAAATAACTGTAATGGCACTACATCTCTATAACCATACCAACAGACCTTGTACCACAAGGTAAGAAACTAAAATAGCTGCTTGGGCTTTGGTTGAGCAAATCAAGTAACAC